AAAAAAAAAAAAAGATGGAGAAATTTTCTGTTTAATTATTGTGTTTTTCTATCCTGTGACTTGATGATTTAGTTTGACATTGGTGCAAATTAATATTTAAGCTTCTGCTGGAACTCAATTCTTGTGGGTTTTGTTGTGGCGGTTTTAAATATAGGCAGGCAATGTGTGCAAAGACGCATCAAACTCCCTGTGTATCTCATTTTGGCAGTTTCAGAGAGTTTCTATTTAAGCCTAAATTTAAATAAGCATGCTCATATTATCACTGCCAGTTTTAGATTGTTTCACTGACACAATCATCATATTACCCACTGTATAGAAACCATAAATTAGATTAGGACTGCATTGATCTGCAACCTGGGGCTCCTTCTTTTTTAATTCTTTTTTTCCCCACTTTATCTTGGAGGTCTCCACCTGGAGGCTGACAGGGAACAATTGACAACATTAAAAGTATGTTCCATGTAGAAACTTAATTTTTTTGCTTCCTTTGAGATGTCAGATCTCTTAAAGATTTGAGGTTTTTATTTTCACATGACAACTATGTGAAAAGCAACTACTCCCTTAAAGCAAATTTTTTTTTGTTGGGAGGAGATGAGATTTCACTCTGTCATCCAGGCTAAAGTGCATTGGCAAGATCAAGTGGCTCACTCACTGCCACCTCAAACTCCTGGGCTCAAGTGATTTTCCCATCTCAGCCTCCTGAGTAGCTGGGAATGTAGTTGGATACCATCACATCCAGCTCACTTTAAAACTTTTTGGTAGAGATGAGGGTCTTGCTATGTTGTTCTTAAACTCCTGGCCTCAGGCAATCCTCCTGCCTCTGCCTCCCAAGCGCTGTACATGAGCCACTGCCTTTGGCTGAGCTGCTCCTTTTCAATGGTTTCTACTGCTCCCTTTGTCTCCCCACCTCAGAGCCTGGGTCAGGGGCAACTTATCCTAATCACAGTGCCATGATTATGCCAGCTTGCCTCACTCCTGTATCTGCAAGGCATTTCAGTCTGTGGTCCTGGCTGTACACATTATCCCTGGAGGCCTCATCAATTATAATCATTTCCACTTATTATACTTCATCTGTTTCCCTAAGGCAAAATTGTTGGATTCTAACAAACTATAGCAGGTATATAATTGCTACGAAGAGTCTCTTTGTTTATGTCAGTCAATGGCTGTCACATTATAGGTCCCTTGAAAGGAAGTACCTTTTAGAAGTTAGCCAAGAGAAAGAGAAGATGTTCTCTCTGGAATCAGTTTTACAACATATAGTATTTTCTCTTTTTGCTCCTGCTTCCAGAAACTTCAGAGCTCAGTGGGCCCCAATTCTGGCAGTGTTTTCCCCCTCTTGTGTGTTCCCCATTTTCTCTTTATAATGTTAATACTTCCTATTAAAGGGAACTCACACCTACTCAGCAAACAGCTTTCAGCTGGATTCTGTGAGAAAATGGACTCAAATCATCAGGCCAGAAGTACCTATGTCTCAAAGTCGTCTTCCACACTGACAACAGATTCGTATTTTATGATTTTTGTCCTCATTTTAGTGTTGAAAAACTGGAAGCCCAGAGAGATGGAGTCATTTCCCCAAGGATTACACAGCTAATAGGCTGTGGGGCCAACACTGCATCCTCAGGTCCGACCCCACAACTGGTGTTTACCTGCCCCATTGCCTCCCATTTATAAGGTGAAATTATATTCATTCCTATGGCACCAAATAAAGAGTGACTACGTTCAGCTTTCATTGGTTCTATCAGTTCTCCTGGGGATACTGGATTTTGTGGCATTTTTCAGGCACAGATTAAGGTCTTAAAACTTCTTGAGAAAATGCATTAGACAATCATGTATTTGAATGTAGCATGTGCTACACGTGTGCAGTGATTATTTAGCCAGGAACAAAGAAAGCTGAAAATGGATCAGTGTTCACCCCCACAAGCAGCTGAATCAATGGTTCTCAGCTGTGGGAAACAGAAGGGCTCCCATATCTGTGACGTCATCAGCACTGTGACGTCATCAGCACAGCTCACAGAAAAGGGCTGCGGAATTGACTTCCTCACAGTCCTAGGATACAGTATTTTATCTGAAAAGACGCAGTGTGTCGGAAGTCCTTAAATTGTGCATTGAGAATAATAAATACTTCCTCCACCTCAGGAGTCTTCTTTCTCTCTCATATTTAGCTTAGTTCAGAGTGTAGACAATAGTTAGTTACTCTCAGTGATGGAGACAACATCCACCGTGCTTTGTATATCATGGCAGCGGTGATAGGATAAGAATAGGGGTTGGACTACACTGTGGACCTACGTTCACAAAGCCGGAGGCCCTGGCATCTGTAGATAAAAGATGGGTATCTGTGATCTCTGATGCCCCAGAAGGCAGTGCCAGCTCCTCTACGTCCACCGAGTAACCTCCCAGCCTGCTCTGACCATCCCACGTCCAGCTGGTTTGGAGATAGGTTTTCACTAGTAAACAATATCCTCAGATGCCTTTCTCTGTCTCAATGAAAAGACAAGTGACATGCCAAAGTCTAATCTTTTTTCAGCTGTACTTGCAGCCAATATAGTCGCTTGGGGAGAAGCCGGTTCATAGTATTCCATTTTGCCTTACTTTTCATAAACCCGTGACCATGAATCACTTTCTCAGTCTCTTCTCTGAGGTGTGGCCTGTGCACTGACTCAGAGAAGCTATCGTGTGTTAGTGAGGGAACGAATAGGATCTGTTTGGAGATGCAGAGTTAGTGGAAGGCCAGCACATTTCTTTGGGCAGGATCTTATTCAAACTTGAGGTAGCATCATCTATAAGAAATAAAATTCTATGAAAATTGGACTGGAAGGGGGCTAAATCTGCCTTCTGGCTATTTTAATCTGATCAGATGGATTGCTGTATCTGTCATCTTTGTCATGCCATTAATAAAACCTGTTCCCCTTAAAACAAACTGGTAGCTCAGCGAAGTTAAAGTTAGTTAAAGGTATGGAACATACCAAAAAAATTGTATCCTACACAAGTGATCACTTGGTAGTTCACACACTTAAGGGAAATAGTGAAAGAAATTTTCTACATGTAATTATGTCACATTCCTATTACAGTTGGCATGAATCCAACTCTTAATTTTTAGCCCCTGTTGAGTGTGGTTTATAGAACCTTTTTAAAAAAGAAAACTAAATTTGTTTTCAGCCATGATAAGATCTATTAAGGAGAAGTGAAAATCTTGTGTGTATTTTTTGAGCATAGTGATAGTTTTAAATAGACCAGTGACAATAAATCTCAGTTTTGCATCTGTATTTCACATACGTATGGGACAGCTCAGGGTGGTTCTTTTAAAAATAGCCACAAAACCTAGTTAAGCATCTTCTCTGGTCTAAAAGGCTGAACATTAAAATTTATTTTTAGTAGAGGGACGTCAGAAATGCTCATGTAGACGGCACCTTTACAACGTCTTGTTAATATGCATGGCATCGTAGTCAACACGATGACTTCCAATGGAAGTTTTAGAAATATATAAAAATCATCTATGGATATTTGAAATAGTAATGATCATTGTAAAGTATGAATAGTAAGTTTTGTGCTACCCATGAATCAATATAGACCATGGTGTTGAGCCTAATCGTATTTAGTTAACTCTTTTCCAAAAATGCCGGGGAGGGGGGGTTCAGCAAGCTTTTCATGTTTATCTTCAAGAGTCCCGCTGCAGCTTGACACAGTGGGTGGAAGTAGGTGGTTATTCTCAGCTTCCGTCTCTATGAGCAGCTAACGTGACACCTGGCCTCAGCTGCTCACCCAACAACAGGTCTAGGGGCTAGCTTGTGTGACAGGTGACAGTCATGGCTTTCATCCGAGGTTTCAGTTTGCTTCTTTGCAGATAAAATGTATTAATATCACCCTATAATATCAGTGATCCAAGTAACAACTGGCAACATTTAGGGTATGCCATATAATTATTTCTATGCAAACATGTAACAGAGATTATAAAATATCTTTCGTCCATTTTAGTTTTGTGGAATTTATCATGACTATTCTATGCTACTTTAACGCCTCTTTTCTGATTATAGTCTGGTTGGATTGTATTCTGTTTAAGTGAAACTATTGAGTTTGCTCACATCCTCTATTTTCTGTCATCCCTACTTTGCCTGTATGTATTCCAAATAGCAGACTGTTCTCAATCCATTGTATACTGAAAAAATTACTTACCATTATTGCACACAGGAAGAGGTATATCTTAGAGTCCCTGCCAAAGAGCTGACTCTTTCGCCAAGTTTGCTTTCTAGAAAATGAACAAAAGCACAGTGACCACCTGGTTCCTTCCTGCCCTCTAACTTTCCTTTCTTTCTTTTCTCTCCACAGGAACTTTTTACCCCTGAATGCAAATTTAAAGAATCTGTTTTTGAAAATTATTATGTAATCTACTCATCCATGCTGTACAGACAACAAGAATCTGGTAGAGCCTGGTTTTTGGGATTAAATAAAGAAGGGCAAGTTATGAAAGGGAACAGAGTAAAGAAAACCAAACCAGCAGCTCATTTTCTACCCAAGCCATTGGAAGGTAAGTGCGCAAGTGCATTATCCTTGTTGGACTTAGTGTACATTTTATTTTTCAAACTGATGCTTCTACCATGGCTACAAGGAACCCTGACAGAGTGCTGCAGTGTCCTTTATCTTGATTTGGGGGATAGATGAACAGATGCTACTCAAGCTGGCCACCTGGGATTTGTGCCCTTTACACACTTTATTCTGCAAGTGCGTGTGCGTGTGCGTGTGTGTGTGTGTGTGTGCGTGCTCATGTGTATACATTAGGGCTTTTGTGCTGTGTCCCTTCCAATATCTCAAATGTTCACTGCCTCAACCACTCTGTCCCTTAGATTATTGTAATAAATTAAAATCTGTATAAAATATTATAAACCTATTACAGTAAGTGTATTGGAAAAATAGGTATTGAAGGTGGCATCAAAATTATTTGCCCATTTTGATTTTGTGCAAACAATTACACACTTGTGAATTCTCATGACATAACATGAAGAGGTGACATTATACAGGGAAGAATTCTGGAGTTTGGAGTTATTGCTTTTGAAACTGCATAATTCTTCCCTGCACAAACTTTTAGCATTACCCTCTTTTACTAAAATAATTTAATTGCACTTACATGTGAACAATAGAACCTCCACATTGACCTCGGTCTCCTTCTCAAAGAGCAAGCTGCAAAATTTGTTAATTAATCAGAAACATCTGTACCTTTCTCATTAATGATTCTGCCAGAAGTGCATTTGCTTTTATCTATGTAACATTTATTTGAGAACTGAAAAAAAAATGATTTTGAGGCTATTGATATGTGTTTTCTATTCAAATACTTTTGTTTCCTCTTTTTCAGAAGATCAAATCTATAATAACTGAGTAAGTTAGACAGTTCCATTTTCTTTATTTTTTTATTTCTACAGAAAAGCCTTAACCATCAACAGAAAAAGCATATTAATTTCATAATCCATATGCTCCAAGTAGAAATAAGATAATTTGAAAGTTTTCATTATCTATGAGTGAAACAGATAAACTTATCTAATGAAGTTTCAGTTTGCCTAAATTTGGAAAATGACCCTTGTTAATATTGCCTTTTAAATCTTCACAATGTTGACTATCACTCTTAATTAAACTTGCCTCTAGAATAATTTATTGAAACCCAAATAATTAGCCGCCAGGACCTAGGTAGGAAAGAACAAATTGTTTCAGAGTCTGAAACGCAAGTGAATTATAATCATTATGTGGGAAATTATAGATTAGAAATTAGAAATTAGAGTAGAAAGACATTAGAGGATTTCTCTGTCCTTCCCAATGACAAATCTGTGATAGGGCCTGATTGTTTTAAATGAATTTTGATACTAGCAGACTCACCGATATTCAAATTCTAAATGAAAAATAAAAAACTAAATTCAGAGCAGCTCTATAAAGACCACGGTTTATTTGCTATCTTGCTTGGTCTACTTTGACTAATTTTATGTTTTGAGTACAGATGGTTAAGAATTGACTAAATTTCTAAATCTTCCCTTACCTGCATAAAAGTAATGAAAACCGAAAGGGCCTGTATATCACTTAACTGAGGTAAAATTTGGAAACCACTTATTCCATATACTCCGTAGGAAATATCTGAGACTCCAATGGTGTGAAATAATAATGACATCAATCCTTGTTATTTCAATTGTGTGTTGAACTATTGTGTGTACATGAGTGTCATGTATGCGTGCATGTGTGTGTAAAAGAGAAATAATATTTTCATCATGTTTTCAAATAATCAGTAGACTGAAGTATTCCAAAAATAGGAAATAGGTTATCACATTGTTTACTTGATAGAGGAAAACTAACTTCAAATGTTCAAAATCCATAGAGGATATAAATTATATCATTGGAAAGGTTTGGAAAAATTAGGGATTGATTTAATTACCGATACTCTAGGGCACTCATCTCTCTTCAGTATACAGATGATGAAGGTCAGTGCTGTGAGAGTAGGAGTGAGAGATGGGAGTGTGTTTCAGGAATACGTATTAGTTCCTTTACTACCTTGCCAAGTCATTTAGTGTAGGCCTGACAGACAGGTGTACTTTGAAGGACGTCTGTGGCTGAAAAGTCACATGACGCACTGATGGGAAAGGAAATGTTCTACCGCCTGGGACACAGAACATGAGTGCCATAGACCATCCGAAGTAAACAAAAGGGCTCCTCAGAAGATACCTTCAACTTTCAAAAGCTCGTGAAGGCATTTGGGCAGCTCTGATGCACTTATCTTTCTAACAGCAGATGACTTGAACTCCATACAGTAGGAATTCTGTAAGGTGACCACCCAAGGGACTATGACAAACTGGTCAATATGTGGAGATGGGCAATATAAGGACCCGGGCCTCCTATACTGATATGAGCATGTGGTGCATGTCTGCTCTATAAAAATTAGGTCAACTTAAGGAGGTGGTTCATGGCAGGTGGTCAGCTATGGAGGTTCTACTAGTTTTCCCCAAACAACTGTGTCTCTGATGCATCCTTTCCCAGGATTTCCAAAAACTCACTTTCTGAGAAGCCACATAGACTATCATATGTCACCAGATACTATACAGATACTTCCTCAGAGTTTGCTGAGGCATCATTCTCAATAGCTGTACTGCTATTCTATGCTTCTGTCTCATATGACATCAATTAGTAGGTTTTTTAAATAATATCAAAATACGAGACATAAAGAATATGGAAAATGCTCCACAGTTGCCCCCAGTTGTTCAAGGACCTCCTTCAATGACTGCAGAAGAGAAAATAGAAACAATGATAGGAAAATACAAACAATGATCTCTAGGAGGCCCTGGCCTAAAGGACGAGTGTTCTTTGTTATTGTTTGTGTGAATTTGAAGTCTTAATTTTCCTTTCTATACAAAAAGGATCCGGTTAAATGCTTTCCATTTTCTTATAGTTCATGTGCACGTGTGTGTGTGTGTGTGTGTGTATGTGTGTGTATGTAAGAGAGACTGAAAGATATCATAGGTCCACGAAGAGGACATAACTCCCATATAAATTTCCTGTACAAAAACCCATGCCCACCAATCTACATATATTAGGAATGTAAACCAGAGAATGTGGAGGAATTAATGTCCTCTGTCTGTTGCCTGGAAATTACTGCTTTAAGCTAGGAATTCCCTCTCCATGGAATTGCTTTACTTCTGGGAAAACAGAAATGGGCAAACAGCTGAGGTCTGGGCGTGTATGGAGGGCCCGTTCTTGCCCCTAACCAGGCAATGTTTCCTCTCTCTCCTTTCTTCCCATCCCTAGTTGCCATGTACCGAGAACCATCCTTGCATGATGTTGGAGAAACGGTCCCGAAGGCTGGGGTGACGCCGAGTAAAAGCACAAGCGCGTCTGCAATCATGAACGGAGGGAAACCAGTCAACAAGAGTAAGACGACATAGCCAGATCCCCACAGGTGTTGTGACTTATCCGTCCTGAGCACAGTTGAGTGATTTATCCTTACCAGACACTCCTGCTCCGTGGCTAACGAGCTGCTGCCAGTAAGCCCAGGCTTGCTCTGTGCTGTCTCGGAACTTCTCTGTTGCAAGTGGATAAATCTCAATCTGTTGCACCCCCCCAAGAAGACACCTGGATAACCAGCTAACTCAGACCATGGAATGCCCTACCAGATATGGAATGCCTTTTTAATATCTTTTCTGTGACTGTGACACTTCATGTGAATGACATACTGACATACTTCACAAGTACACTCCATACCTTGCCTGCTGACAGCTACCCATAATCCTTTTTGAGTCCTGTTTCAGCGAGATCCATGTGTTTCAGTTCAGTTTTGTAGCACACAGATAATACTGAGTAATTTCTAGTTAGACGCTGTAAACCTGTGCTATTATGGATTTCTCTTCTTCCCACTTTTACAGGGCTGCTCGCTCCATTGTCTGTGACCTTTTGCAGGGATTGTGTCCTCCAAACCTTCAATGTTGCAGTTGGCTTAGTTGGGAGAGCAATCAGGGAATCGGGAAGTCTCCTAAATCTATTATTATAAATCGCATCTTTATAGATTAAGATCGTTGTCTCTGGCTCACACTATTGATTAAACACACATATATGCTCTGTCTAGTAGCAAATACTGTGCTCCCGAGGTCGGCGTTGTCTGGGTGGGAAAGGGTCAAACACAGTCCCCGGGAAGCTCTCTCTGATACGTGTTTGACACCCCCTCTGGTTTCTTTGTGCGTGTGTGTTTTATACATATCACAAGCTTACTGGTAATGGTAACATTTGCCTTGCCCAGCGAGCAAGACCCACTGGTTTTTGAGAAAGTGGGTCCAATGAATTCTGTAGGCCTTGTAGGCCTGATTAAGGTTCATTTTTCATCTATTAATTCTCATTATTTGGAAAAAAAAAAGAGAGAGAGAGAAATCAATACTTACAACCTACAAGAATTGCACTACCTAAGTCCATTTCCGGTATACTCCTTCCTGTTTTTAACGAACCAAACTCAATGCCACCCCCGTTTCGGGCTGCGTTCCACTCATACTCAGCAGAGCATGGGCAAGGCGGCTGTTGTGTTCTTTTCTGCAGCAGCAATGCAAACGTTAGTTATAAATTAGACTTTAATATTTTTGGTGTTTAATGACAAGTTTTTAAACTGGACATATTAGGAAAAAATATTTTTTTTAGCTCAGCATGCTGAGTCTGGTACTGTGTATTTCACCAGTACATGCCTCTAACTCAGCGTTTGGGGCCCCCCAGTGCCCAATGGCTGGATTAGAGGTGCCTTGTCATGATCTCAGAATACAGTCTGTTGAACTATCCTAGATACAAACAAAGGCAAACCGACACATTCACACATCAGGATTTCGGGCCATCCAGTTCCTTTGCTTTTGTTTTCTTCTGCCTTCTTGATTTCCGTTTCAACTTAATACTGCTTACACTCTGAGCTTAGGGAAGACAACTACTGAGAAAGGCCAGGAATAGCTGGCTTCACAGCCAAGATTCCATGCAAAGGGTTCATGATTGGATATAAAGAGTTTCAAAATGTTTAAGACCAAATTGTTTGGAAATATATTTGATAACTCTGTGTACACCTAATAAAATTCAATGTTTTCTTCTCGGAAGAGTTAATTGATACCAAACTGAACCTCATTTACACAACTTTGTGTGGGATCAATGTACTGGCTCTTGTTATTATTTCTATGTGGAAGGATGACCCAGTTGCCATTTTCCCCCATCTGCACTGTATTTATTGGGAAATTATTTTGTCACTGCTTTCATAAATCTCCATGACAGCCCTTGCCCAGCATTAAAAATTTTGGCCTGCTTAGCTGATTAAAGGTTTAGTATAAATTTACCTGCTTATGCGTATTTCATTTTCACATTGGATTCTACTTGAATAAATAAAAAGTTAGCATAACGTTTGAGTAGATTTATTGTCAATGATGCTAAATTACAAATACAATCAAATGATTCCTTTGACCATTCTCAATTTGGTGTTATGCCATTTTAAAGCCTACTGCTTTTAACAGGATATGAATTCCAGTTAGCCAATTATTTAGGGATGACATATATCCCATAATATGTGGCAAACTATGAGTAATTAAAGTTGTAAATCCAATTACATGGGCTTGTAGACACTGCTTACACCAATACACACACACACACCAACAACCCCCTCCTATTTGTTTTTAATAATCAGTTCCACCTGCTGGTTTCTTTCTCCCCCACAAGCTTGTTTATTGGTCTAAATTAAAGCAAGATTTATTTTTGTAAATGACAGACTTCTGTAAATGTGGACCTCTGTTTTGTTTTATATATGGATTGTCTAAAAGGGAATTTATCCCTATGAATGGATGTCAACATACTCTCGTCTACTATATGTTTAGACATACTGCAGAGGGGTCTCGTCTACTATATGTTTAGACATACTGCAGAGGGGTCCCTGTTATTTGTAATTTAGTTAGATCATTTATTCTATGTCTGGTCTCACCTGTTGCATGGGAAGAGGACAGCACTGATGAACTGCATGTAGTAGGATCTGTGTACCGAGAATTGTTGGTATGTATTCCTCAATTTGCATACAAAGAGTTTGTCTGCATTGTACAGTTTCTGTGTTTAACATCATTTGTTGTATTTACAAATACAATTTATTGAATAAAATATTCATATGAAGGCATATTAAAGAAAACATCAAACAACTTTATGTAACAAAATGGCATTGCATCACCCACCATATAGAAAAATGTCATGTAAATAAGTTGGTAATCTTGATTTCCCCCTTTACCATGCCAAAGAAAATTTTAGCTCTTTGATGATACCTCTCTTGCTATTCTTCCGGGATAAGACTTCACCATTTTTTTCCCCTCAGAAATTAAGTTTGCTGTTATTAACAAGCGCACTCTGTCACTATTGATGTTCTGTATAGTAAACCTGATGGACTTCATTTGTATTTATAGACTGTGTGTTTGCACATGTCCACTGTATCGAGTCTCCCCAGCACTCCTCCCCTTCTGCATGCATATCTGGTATGGGAGGGATGTTTCTACTGACTTGTGACGGTAGCTGATTGCTTAGCTGATCCTTCAACAATGCTCGGAAATGTTCATTGTTTTGATATTTCCACTGACGTCATTTTTGTTTTCTATTAAGTTTACTTTCTAAAGTATTTTGCTACCCCTTTACTTGGAAAAATTATAGAAGACAAGCAAATTGTCCACCCTATATAAAGAGGAAAATGGAACTGAGCACTATTTCATTGAGAATCTGGAGATGCCTCCTGTTCCAGTCCAATCGTTTGCCTCTTGGAGAGTAAACAGAGTTTCTTTATCATACCTGGCCACTTGCTTAATTAATATGTAAAGTATGAAAATAGGTGGCTTTTCAGGATGACCAGCATCATAATTGGTTTTCTTTAAAAAACAAACAAAACAAAAACTTCCTGTTTTCTAAGTTAAGCAGGCATCATTTTATTTATAATTTTATCCCTAATATTATAGAGTTACCTAATATTTGATACTTCTCCAATAGGAAACCAGATTGACTATGATCCAATTTAGAAGAAAATGAATAGAACTGAAGATAATTTTCAATTTTATTTCAGAAAGAATCTGTATCAAGGGGAAAAAGTTGAGCTAAATTCCCAATTATTTTTTAAAATGTGGGTGTATCAAAATCCATAATATGTTATAAATTGCATTGTTTTGAAGTAAAATATATTTCATAGCTGAGCTTTTGGGCCTGGTGGTTTTCTTGAATACCAAGGGCTGTCAAAGTTTCGATGGTTGACTCTGCAAACTAAAGCTAAGTTATATGTGTCCTGCCCCTTGGTTTTCACTCAAATTCTGAAGCATACTGGCAGGGATAGTATTTGCATTTGCATTTGAGGTGATAGAGGCCATCCCTTCCAATGAGCTACTGGGATCCCGATGAGCTCAACAATTCTCCTCCTATGTCTCAGGACACTGGTTGGCTTTTTTGGAAAAGACCTTGTGGAGGAATCCCTCAGAAGATTTCCCAGACAAGAAGCAGGGTTAGTGTTGACACGATCCGTAAACTTGCTGTATCCCTTCCAATTAACATGAAACCTACCGCAACTCCCTAAAATCATGAACAAACCGATGAATTTTGCTTATTTCTTCCAAGAGTTTTCTGTTGCTCTGTTTGTTACATAGAGAGAATTTCTATCTTAGCGCGCAAGGTTGAAGTACAAAATCACATTTAAGAAGGCTAGAATGTGTCTTTATGTGTAACTTACCTGTTTATTTTATTTTTTAACCTAAAAAGTATACATTCAATCACATCTTAGTAGTATATTGATCTCTCTGTTGCTACAGTGAGAATCACACACACTTACACACAATTACGGCAGATGGAAAGTAAATATTTCTGTTTTCAAAGAAAAAGCATTGCTGAGAGTTTAGGTGCTATGTGAGTTGGGCTACAATTCAGTTTTGAGTCTATAATTTGTAACTAAGTGAGTATTTTCATCTTTGTCCAAAAATTTAGACAAACTACATTTTTAGTTTTATGGTATGATCCTTGCTCTAGTATTTAAACTTTTTTTTCTAGAAAGAAATAGACGTGAAGAACATTTGTGAAACGTCTATGGAAATGTAATGATTTTTAAAAAGAGCAGCATATTTGCTTTACTTGTTTAGGAAAATAGGTAACAACACATAGAGACTTTTAAGAAAAGTAAGACACAGCTGAGGTTGTGACGAGCCCTGGGATTCCAGTGGAGCAAGGGTAGCAAACTCCCGCTCAGCCACAAGCCAAAGCCAGCCCTCAGTCTGGTTGGTGTGGCCTGAGGACTCAGAATGAATTTTTATTTTATTCCACAGTTTTGAAGTCATAAACACGAAGGAAGAAGAATGAGAGACAGAGGCATATGTGGCCCACAAGGTCTAACATATTTACTATCTGGTCCTTTATAGAAATACAATGTCATTTGTGTTATGCTGGCTAGATATTCCAATGAATTCAATGTCTGAACATCATCAAAAAGGTCATCAAAATTGCTGCTGAACAATTACAGTAGTTTTTTTCTGAGGCTTAAAATGTTTAGAGAGAGAAGAGGAAATAATATATGTAATTTCTATGTTATTTTTTTGGCTACTTACATCTCCCTTATTTTACAAAACTGATAGATCAATTTACATCCGAACAGAGATACACCTAACAGGCTGCACTCCTTACTCTCAGGATAGAGGTAACATTTGTACAATTCTATTAAGTTATGAGACCATTAGTAGTACCATAAAATTCTGCACCAGTTCAATTTTCTCTCACAACACTTTTCAATATGACATTTTTAAGTCACTCAGTGTATTTATTTTTGGCGATTTGACTTCGAAAGTCCAAGCCATGACTCTAGGATATTGACATCATTAAAATAAAATTTCCAAGCAAAATTTTTCATCTTTAAACAGTATGGAAATGATTTTGCTACATTATTCTAGGATTTTACAAAATATTCACATTTAGGAAAAAAGTGGGTTCTTTTTTTAAGCTCTAAATAATTAAAGGTTGTCTAAGCTAATGTGTGTAAGTAGATTTACCTGTGACTATGTGAGGGAAGTCCCAATGATTGTCCATTTTCATAATTCAATGTGAATTTCATACAGAGCAAAGTTTCACCATGAAAAATAAACATTTTGTTCCTATCACTGAGTGAACAGTTGAAATTTCTATTTAAGCCATTACTAGATTTTCTTTTCTTTCTTTTTTTTTTGATTGGTGCCCTTTTATCACAGAATCCCTTTCATGACACCACTTTTCCAGTAAGGTCTCCTTAGAAAAAAGAAAAGTCTTTGAAGTAAAATGAATGCATATTTCAGGCCCATCAGTTATCTAAGTAGGTATTATGCTTTTAAAAGCACCATTACCATGAAAAAATTAATTAAAAATAAACTTCTTGTATAGGGAACTTCTGCTCAGGGTTAAAAATATGATCCCTCAGTTCTAGGAACCTAAAAAAACATATCCCTGAATAGCAATTGTTTTGGGGGGTTAATTATCAGTAGGTAAATACGTATTGACACAAAGTATAAATATCTTCTGTGACGATTTATTAAAAATGTGAAATTGTACATTTTTCATATCTTCCTTTATCTTAGAATAATCTTTTGTGAGTTTAAAGTGAGATTAGACACATGAACTTTTGGCTAAAAATGACCAGCCTTTCCCCTTGGTCTACCCCCCCAACATTATTATATCTTTGTGTGTTTATCTTCACTGTTCCCACACGGAAATGATGAGCACGAGTCAATTCTAGAAAAAATCTCATTGACTGACTTATGTGAAGATCTATGTTTTCCTTAGATTCTAAGCTAGTCGCTCTCGTGTAGGATTGTGGATTTCTCTCAGTCGTGCACGTCAGCCTCAGTTTCTCAACCCCAGCACTACTGACATTGGGAATCACACAGTCCTTTGTCATGCAGGTGTCCTGTTCAGCACCCCCGGCCTCGCCCACTGGAGTCTGCACCTGCCCACGCCACCCAGTGTGACAATCAAAATTGTAGATGAGGCCAACTGTGTTTTGGGTGCAGATTGCTCTTGCTGAGAATCACTCGTGTTAGTCACGGAAGGAAAGGACTTTTAGTGTATTTACATCAGCGTTTGCTTCACTGGTGTGTAATGAGCAGCCAGACTCAGGCATCCAGAAAGAGAAAAACAGACGATGGTCAGTTTAACCTGTCCTAGTGGTGATTATACATGGTTTCCTTTGCATTTTTATATGTTCTAATGGCCTAGAAGAATAAGCACCCAGTCCTCTCCCACGTGATTGTTATGGATATTCTGTGCCAAGCCAGATTTCACACGCGTTGCCATTCCATCCTTCCCAGCATTCACAGTTTCCACAGCTACATATTCCATTCCCTGCAGTAAAATACGGAATCATTACCATGATTGAAATGCACCAAATTTAAATATGCTGTTACAAACTCCAAGTGTCCATAATAAAATCATTGCACTCATCCCGGGTAGATTTTCTACTGTGCAGTGATCTTCTTGTCCCGTCTTACTAAGCAGCTGTGATAAATCTAAATTTCCCATTAATGCCATTTATTTGGTGCCACCATCAGATAGTAACCATCCTGTATGATCACTCTGGCTGGGCTTCCCTGTCATGATTTGGTATTCCCTTAGAGAGCCAGGTATTTCTAACTTATGAATAAATGTCAAAAACATAAAGCTCCCAGATAGAATATGAGGCAGACCACTTAATTAGCTAAAAGAGGCTTGCATAGCAGGGATGGACAGAAAGCCACCAGCTCCATGACACACATAGACAAATTCATCTTTTGCCTTTAGCTAGAATAAGGAGAGCAAATATACATGCCTCTATTTCTCCTGTAACTTGGTCACGCAAATGTATTTTATAACCAATTTTAAGACTCTAATCATAAGCACAGCAGTGGTGAGAGCACTGCTGAGCCTTTATTGTACCTTGCCCCTACAGACATACACACATCCATTTTCCAGAAAACAACCAACGCATCAAATAGTGGTACCTGGATCCTGTTTAAAAAATTCCACTCCTATACCATGGGCGAAAGAGTTCTTTGCTTTTTTCCAAATATAACTACGTCTGTGTGAGTCTGAAAGGTAAATTACTTTGTGCACGTTTCACAATAATCATATAATTTAGCTTATTCTTTTGTATTTTTCTGTTTCTGGGAATGATGCTCACACTTACTCCCCAAATCCCGCCTTCCCTTTCATAGTTCCTTGCTACTACCAACTGTCCCTTGATTACATGAAAGCTGCTCCGTCCAGCCACCTGAAGCACGTGTGATGGGTGTCATTTGGCAGTGCTGCAAACTGTGGCACAGAACAATTAGAGCAGGTCGATACTGCACCTGTACAAATGAGGCCATCGTGTTTGTCGCAGTCGCGGTCATCACATTCACAGAATTCCCCGGATATGTACCATTCTTCAGCAGAACAAATGCACTTTCCACAATGACAAGAACCTGAAATTACAAAGAGCCATCACAGCACAACTAAAGGTTCCTATCTAGAATAAAATATTGTTGATACACTGGCAATAGGCTTCTAACAACCTGTCTTCCAAAGGTAAAAGGTTATTGAATAGCCATTTTCTCAGAGGGGAGCTTTACTTGCTGTGATTCACAAAGGTCATCCAGGAAGGCCTTCATTATGGATCCAGACAGTTGTAATTAGCCTTGAGCAAATGTCTGTTGGCCCAGTCTGGTTGAAATGTCACTGAGAGCAGAACGTGGCTGATCTTTATAGAAGGTCTTCCAGAAAGGTATTCAAAAATAGGTATTTTTTTCTGAATTGTATCATGTTTTTTAAAATGGACCTGTTCTTTAAAGGAATTGAATAGGAAATTCTATTAAAGGCAGATGCACTTATAATTAAAATAACCACTAAATTATTGTGCTCATAATTTGGGGGGTCTGTTTACATCATTTTCTTAAAGTGGGAACACATCTGCATATTAGGGGCTAATTAAATTGCTAACAATGCACACACTGTCATGCATGTCTATTTGACTTATCGGAGCTCATGCTCAGGATTCCTTGACATAATCAATAATCATCCTAACTGGTCTTCACGCTTCCTGAAGCACTGGGTTACCCTCCTTTTATCCTCCTACCTAATTAAAACAAACTCCGTCATTGGTTATTAAAACTATTTTGGGTTACTGAGCAATAATTTTATTAATGGTCTATGTAAACATCAAAGAAAATAAATGAGGTAAACAGTGTCCCAAAGACAAGAAACTTCTCTCAGTCTAAACATCTTTATGTAACAGGCTAAAATTCCTTCACATGGCCAAACTGCTTCCACTAAAATAGCAAAGACAGCTTTAAAATTAAAAGGAAACAAATAAAAGGGACTTCCCCTTTCTTCTCTCTCCCTGGGCTGGTTGTTCTCTCCAGATGGGACTTCCCTTTCCTAAAAGATGGCTGTCACCAAATTTTTCAGGTCAAAATCATATTAAGAGAATGTAAAGTAGAAAAAGTATTTTGACATGTTTAACAAAACTCCAGACTTGTTAAGTTCAAAATATTTCAGGGCGGGCGGAGGGGAATGAATCCTTAGCATCTTTTTGAAATACAGTGACTAAAAAAAATGAGTTGACAACCTAATTAGGAAAATGAAGTTGTCACAGATGCGGGGAAGGGATTGGCGCCAACGTGTCCTAAGCATTGAAATTTGGACATGCAGTTTAGTTAAAGAATCCCTGATAGCCAAATTAAACATCTGCCATTCCTCGTCACATGTTTCAAAGTAAGAGAGCAGTCAGAACTAGTTATATTGTGAGAACTGTGTTTACACTGATTTTACCTTCTGGCTTAGTGATCGCATCATTTCATTTAGCCTTGACTTCTTTTCCCGAGGGCCTTAATATTGGTCAGTCCTCATGAGTGACTGACCGGCCAGGGGTTTCTCTGAAGCCAGGAATTAATCCACCCAGGTCACTCTGCAAGGGATGGTTTAATCCCCAAGTATAAAGTTTCCTTGTTTTACAAATGTGTTTATCCTGATTTTAAATGTATCCACATTTCTAAAATGAAATTTTCAACACTCAACTGCTTTTTTCAATAAATTAGGTTAGCGATATATCTGCCAACCAAGAGGATGTGAAGTAGTTCATTGACTGTCAGAGAAATTTCCTGAGAAGCAAGCATATTAGTGTTAATATTTCCATGAGTGGAGGAAAATTATTTGAAGAATTTGACTGTTTTAGTGGTTTATAAAATAGCATCTTCCACACACTGCAAAATTATTTCTACTACAAATATGAAGGATTTTTTATGTCCACAATGTTCATACACCATGCCTAAGGTGCACTGTATGTGAGTGCCACCCTCCATGAGAAGATCTCACATTTCATCTTTAACTGCAACCTTTGGTGCTGGAACTATTTCTAATCCTGCTCTTGCTTCTGAAATGCTAAGCTTCAGGCCAGGGTAAAGTATTTTCTTAAACTAGTAATCTCAGCTAAGTCACTGTGGTATACATGGATAGAGCATTTGCTGAGTAAATTCCATTTCCCCAAGTCTGCTCGTCACTGAAATAGTTAGAATGAAAATTGAGGACTGATTGTGTATGTTCCATGAAAGAGCAGCTTTTCTAGGCCAGCACTTTCCCAGCTCTGTCACTCTGTTCTGTTTGTCAAAGCTCAATGCGTCTTAGAGGTAGGAGATTCTTCTACTGCTGAAACTAGGCATAGATGGAATCTAATAACAACACAGCGTGAGGCGTTATTAGGACCTATTATAGCATCTTTCTTGTAGAGCACTCTGGCTGTTTTCATCACTGATGAGGGTCAAGTTGTCCCTCTCTAGAAAATCGTAGGGAGGTTCTGTCAGAGACCTGGGCTGCGTGACTACCAAGAGGGGAGCAAATGTCCAAATGAGGTAGCCGGGAGACACTCACAGCCCCCACCCCACCCCCAAGACCCCGCCCGACCAGAGAGCAGCAGGCCGGTCTTGGTGGGAGCTCTGGGGTGCTGAGTTAATAACCACAACACCACTAATCCGTTTATTTGCTTTCTCACTAGAAAGATCTTTAAGAAGGTTCCCATCTCCTGTCTGTGCTATTCTGTGGCTTCCATCCCTGGGGAATTAGCCACATTTTCTCGTGTCTTCAGAGCATTCTCAGGACTTAAAAAAGGGAAAGAACTGAAAGTTTGCCTTTAAAGATGGGAATAAAATGATACAGAGAAGGGAGAGGGCCCCGCCCGCACCACATAGGCAGTCAGCACACTTAGATTTCAATCTGATTAAATCTGCTCTTCTACCCGCCACCTGCCTGTCTCTGGCGTCTCTCACAGCTAACACGCTCCTACCCAGGAGTTTGAGACATGAGGGCGGTGCTCCTGCAGGTGTGCCCAGACGGCCGTCTTGGGGGAGGCAAGGAGGCCGTGAAGGAGTGTACTCTGGGCTTATTTGGATGAAGGGGGGCCCGACATATACCACTGTGAGGGTTTCGGGAGAAATGTCTGAATGTTTAATGATGTCTTTCCGGTCCTGACCACACAGCAGCAACCTGCAGGATTATCGTAGGTGATCGCCTGGATCCAGGTTGGAGCCATCAAGGCAAAAGTGTTCTTGCAGAGCTTTGGATGCAAAAAAATAAGTCTCCAACAACAACAACAACATAAGCGAGTTATATCACATATTCTGCGAAAGCAGCTCACGTTAGTGGAGGTCTGGCCGCTAAGCTCATCTCTCTGTTATCCCCAAAACACCGGGGTCTGAGGGCGAGGTGCCCATTCCAGACTAACCTCACACTTCCTTTTTCATTCGTTAAGCCTGACCAAATGCTGCAACCCGACGTCCCAGCAGGCAGTTTTCACCATTGTACTGACCACTCCATCTGTTATGAAGGTCACAATGATGCATCTTGTTTTACATTTTTCTATGCAGTGATTTGTTGGCTATAAATTTGTAAAGAAATAAAATGCTATTTCTTCATCACCTCCTGAGGTGAGTGCTTTATTCACAGCCCTTGGGAAATGTGTGTCTCAGCCTTGTTTTGGTAGGGACAGGGCATTCAAGGGTGTGCCCAGGCCACGGCTCAGCCCTGGCCTGTCATCAGAGAAGGGCTTTCCTTGACACATCTGAGATAAAGGATATGGGATTTCGAGAAGCCCATGAGATTTAGCAAGAAATACACGGCCCTAGACAAATAATTTAGTGCAGGTTTCTCTTTTCTGCCATCGTGTTGACATCCCCGGGTCTGTTCCATAAGTCACTTCTCCTGAGGACCTGGAGTGAGGGTTTCTCCCCATGGGAACTGGGGACAAGTGCTATGTCCCCATTGTCCTCTCTGCCTACAACTGGCCACAGTTCCATGATCACGGTTTGGGCTCCTTTCTTTCTCTGTAACCCAGCACTGGTGTCTCCAGAACTGCAGGAAAGAAAAGAGCCTAGGAGCAGCTGCTGCCCCAGGCCCAGCCTCAGATGCTGCCCCCACCCCAGCCCCAGCTGCTGCCCCAGGCCCAGCCTCAGATGCTGTCCCCGCCCCACCCCAGCTGCTGCCCCCGCCCCAGCCCCAGTTGCTGCCCCCGCCCCAGCCTCAGATGCTGCCCCCGCCCCAGCCCCAGCTGCTGCCGCAGCAGGAGCCCCAACCACCAGCTGGGCATCCAACTGTGAATCCCCCCTTGAGTTTAAAGATTCTGAAACTCTCTATCCTTTAGACAAATATGCTTTCAGCCTTCCATTGATCTCTGGATATATTTCCACCACACGGAGCAAATAATTTGAAAACGCATTAACTAGAGAGATTTTTTTTCAGTTTGGTTTGGTCTTGAGGAAATGCCTTTGGGTCAATATTTAGTCAACTTATTTTTTTTATTTTCTACCTTTATGATGCTGAAAATTTTTTTCCTCAGACTATAATCACTTGAATAAGGATATCTATTTCTTGAAATTAAACAACTCTTTTGCATGAAAAGAGCGGTTCTCAACAGGAACTGTATTAAAGGGCCGGCCGCGGCATTAAAAAGGTTGAGAACCTCTGGCTTAGGAGCTGGCAGGCTGTGATTTCCCACAGCTGCAGACAGCTTTGTGCATTCCTCCTGAACTTACCACTAGACGTGACTTCAGGAAGACCGCTGATGGACAGTGTTAATGATGTGACAGTGTGTCCAGTGCACATACAAACACACACACACCATGGCTGCACGCAGGCACACACAAACTAAAAGCTGTTTAGGAAAACCAAGTAAAAACGTATCTAAAGTTTACAGCTCTAGGTGAGGAGTTATGCTCAGAAAGGAGAATATCTGATTCAAAAAATTTAATCATTCTCATTATTTTTTATACACAGAACATTCTCCTCTGAGCTGATAACATCTCTCTTATCCTCCCCTACTTCAGTTTAATTTCATCGCTGCCTTTTTCCTGCTGTTCTTCATGAATCTCTTTCTCCCCAATGCTGTCCCTTAGTCTCTTCCTTTTAACCTTTTCTCCCACCTTTTGGTTTTCTCAGCACAGCTTGAAGCCAAGGCAGGAGTTTCCAGTTGCCAGTTGCCAAGGCCCCCTGAGAACAGAGCTGGTAGAAGATTTGTTTAGGGCTTGGAATTCAATTGAATTTGATGGGAGAACAAACAGAGAACAAAGTGATTGCTCTTAATGCATTTAAGTGCCACCTGCCTGCTGTAACAGCATTAAGTTGGAGGCAGGGCCTCCTGGCCGGAGCTCTGTAAACAGAAAGTCTGGTACACAGAGTTCCTAGAAACCCAGGACCCTGTTAGCTATTGAAATAAGCACGTTAGTACCCATTTTCAACTTTCCTCCTGGCTCCACAGGTATCACAGCATCCATCCTCTTTCACGTCTCAAGTTGTGTCCAAAAGTCTCTCAACCTGAAATCACTGGCCTTGCATCATGGGAAAAGCAACAGCCACTGTTTAGAGGACACGTGACCCTTGGCACACCTGCCACACAGACCTGCTTCACCCCGGAGGCGGCGTCACTGCTGGAGCTCTTTGTTAACACTCTTCGGGGCCCCTGGTCTGTTTTCTTCAGAAAGTTATCTCAGTGCTCCTCCTGACCCAGGGAATGTCTCAGGATAAATGAAACTTCAGCTAGAGTGGTGCCTTGTCCCAAACGAGGGGTTGTCTGTTCTGCACAGAGGCCACGGGGCTAAGAGGAGGCCTGAAAGGAGCCCCAACTCCCAGGTCCTTGAGGGCCACCCACAGGTGTCCTCCTTGGCACTGGCAGAAGGAATACAGCAGCCCCCAGGCAGTGCCATATGCACCATGATAGCAGGTCCCCAAGTCCCTTCCAGAATATCACACAGAAACGTCAAGAGCAAGACATCCAGCATTCAATCTGCCAGTCTCCTGTGCTCAGAATCCAATCTGTTCTAGTTTTCCTGCTCCTGCAGGTGTGGAGGAAGGAATTAGGGAAGGCCTGACTGGATCAGTGGCTTCCCTCCCACCAACTTGTGTGTTGTTACCATTTGGTAAACATTTTTTTCTTTGTTGAATTATTATCTATTTTTTAATATCAGGTTACATGCATTTGCTTGGAATAGTTGGTAATATTTAGGTCAAAGAAAATTGCACCAGATTTGTAGGACCCATATCCTTTTTCTTTTATTTTTTATGAAACTAAATATGTACTCTCCTCTTCCATCGTACTCACACTGCCAACTCTCCCTTTCACCACACACATCTATAAAATTTAGCCCCAGAAATTCCAAGTCATATTTTTGGCATCTCAGACACTAGTGATCACTTTTCTGCTGTTCTGGGCTGTGCTTTTCAGAGGTGAATTCAATGATGGGCCTTTTGCCTTTCTGTGCATGGGGGAGGAGGGCCCCTTCAGTATCTGGCACATTCTGTTGCCCTTATTCCTTATAAAATTATTAATTCTGTTTCATTTAGCAAGAACTTAGCACACACGTGGCTGAGGGGCTCTGTGCATGAACCTTCTCTTGTGCATCTCATTTTCTCAGCTGCAGAACTTCCCACGGTTAACCTTCAGGCGTCAGGCCTGGAGCAGGCTGACCCACATGGTTTTCTTTCTGGAAAAGATGGCTGCTAGTTGCTGCTCCGTGTCAGAGCAGGAATCCAGCCCGGCTCCCGCAGAGATACTCACCCTTCCCTGAGCACAATATGCCATCTGCTGATTCACACAGACTCCTGCTTTGTTCCTCCGTCATGTCACACTTCCGCGGATGCTGGCAGAGCTTCCCAAACCACCCGCTCTCACAAACGCAGCGGCCACAGGAACACGTGCCGTGGCCTGGGAAGCAACCACAGGGTGGGGGTGAGATGAGAGGGTGGGTGAATACGGAGCTGAGGCAGGGTTTTAAAACGCATAGACCATGGGACCTCATTTCCTATCAAACATGCATTGTCCTTTATGCACGGTCAATTTGGCATGTAATTGTTTCAAGGAACTCCACAACAGAGTTCTAGTTTAACGTAATAAATTGGAATGCAGCATAGAAAATGGACGTGAGAGAAAGGGACCCTGAAATAATTTAAGACAGAATTACACCATCCTTTCTGGACACAAAGTCTCTCCTCATTTGCATTTTATCACTATGGAGTCTTGGTGTGATTCTTCGTGTGCACCAGGACATCCGATTAGCAAGGCCAGGCACGTCACCACTGCTTGCAGCATTTATTGATTGCCCTCCTATTGCTTACTAATAAAAACAAAAGGCTGACTTCCATATGAACGGCATTTGGTATTCAATTACTGTGTGTACCTTTCTACTTACCAGTAGAGCAGACATAGTGTAAGTGAAGGTGTCTCTGTATTACTGCATAAAGTTTAAAAACAACATCAGATCTAGATTCACATCTGGTACATTTTTCCTTTTTTTTTTTTTTTTGGCAGGGCGGCTCCTGACATTGGCTTCTGGTTTTCCAGATGTTTATCTTCTTAAATGCAACATTGTATCTATACCTATTTAGTTGTTGGTACCAACACCCCATTAGATTGTATGAACTTTCATTTTAATTCCTTGTTCCATTCAACGCTTTGTTTCTTCTCCCGATTCATGCACGGCCTTACAGCAGGGTGGCCCTGATTCAGCTATTTGCCTGGCAAAGACCTGCTATGTATTATGAACAGAGCATTGTGCTAAGCAATGCTAAGGGATAAAAATCAAGCCACAGTGGTCCCTGGTCTCCTTCCCGGGACAAATATCCTCATCATTCAGGCTGATCAGAGTTTCAGAAGCTGTTCATGACACTGTTTTTCCCTCAACCATTCACCCTGGAGGGAACTTCAAAAGTAAACCTAGCTTCACTTTTCCCCCACTAAATTCAGCTCTTCATAGGAAAAACAAGTGGCCCAAACTCAGTGGTTTGCAAGTCACAGTTATAATTAATTTGATGTGACCGCCCTTGAATCCTGGAGATAGTTCTCCCACATGATCACCTGGCAGTTAGTGGAGGTGAATAGGGGGCAGACTTGGTTCATAGAGAGACCTCCATAACCAGCCTCTTCTCCCTAAGGCCACATACTGAATTTATTGCTATCCCAGCCCTTTGAGTCTGTGGGGATAATGGGTGTTATCACCATTTTACAGACAGGCAACTGAGCCTCAGAAGGACTAAGTAATTTCACTTCACATCACACACATAGTTCAGCCACACAGATGAGAACCTGACTCCAGTGCCCACACTTTCCCCTATGTGTCTGTACTTCATATTAGAAAGAGAGACACTTAGAAGACTTTTCTTAATTCCTATCTCTTTCAACCACTGCATCATTTGAAGATGCACATTTGGCATTTTCGTCTTACAAGTCTCTTCTCTCTTGGTATTCATGACATGGGACTGTCCTTGCCCCATTCAAACCTCCTCCTTTGTCTCTGTGCATTCTTCTACCTGTTTTCTGACCCGATAAATGTTGGTATCTTCTTATTGACCATATTCAATAGTCTTCTTTTATCTTGCTACAATTTCTCCTTTTAAAAATTTATCAAACCATAAGATTTCTGATAACCACAATGACCACAGGGCTGTATCTCCAGCCAGCTCCATTCTCATAATTTGTACTTTATGTTCTATTAACATCCCCAATTAATACTCTCCGATGTAGTTATCTGATTTTCTTTCCAAAGGTGCATCTGTCTTCTTATTTCTTTCAATAGCACATCTACCCTGTAGGAAACTAGTTCAAAATGTTTTGAGTCACATTTGAATGCTCTTTATTCCCTTCGTGCAAATGTTGCCATGTCTGTTGAAGGTACCTCCAACACATTTAGATCACCATCATGAACTCGGAGAAACCTGCCCATCACATCTCTCTCCAATGTTCTTGCTCACTGAGTCCCACAGCACAACCCTGCTCATGTAACATCCCTGATCTCTGGTCCTGCATGTTTCCCTAATGCTTATGACATAAATCATCCTTGTTATATTTTAGGTTCCTAAAAAACAGAGCCCAAGGCTTCTTTTCCAATCTTATTCTTTCTCTTTTCCCTTTGCCCAAACGGACATACCCATTGTTCTCTGTACATTTCTCACACTTTTGACCTCTCTACAGGAATACCTTTCTCCTACTCGACACATTTGAGTCCTACTTAATTTTCAAAGCTCAGCGAAAGTAAGCTACAATTCATGAAAAGCTTCCAAATATCTCTGGGTAAAACTCATTGCCACTTCTCTGAATTTCACATGATTTCTTCACCTCCTGTGGAACTGTTCTGTTTTCCACGATAGTTATTTATAAAATAAATCCATTACTTGACTGAATTCCTTGACAGTGAGAATTACTTCTGATTCAGCACAACAGTCTCCAGAGTGCCAAGCACCCTGCCTTAGACACAGTGGATCTTCAAAAACTTCTGTAGTAGGCTGAGGTTGCCTTTACAAAATATTCTCATTTATTCCCCATAAATACAAACTGAGAGCCCTGAACTGATTCTAGAACATGTTATTCTAGGTTCTTTGGTGAATGGACTTTCATTTAAACATAATGAAATGTAATGGTAAGTTCATAAGTTGCTGTTTTATTTCTACTTTCTGTAGAGTAAAGCCAAGATAGAGAATTGGTTCTCTAAGAGCTATCTATGCAATAACTAGTTATCAAATTGATTATATCTTGACTTCTCCAATAGAATCAAAGTCTACTTAAAGTACAATTCTTCTCAAGTAGTTAGTTAAATGTTGTAATCTTTGAAAGCAGATATTCTGGAGAAGAAAGAAAGAAAGAAAGAAAGCAAGCTAGCTTCTGGTAGTGGGCCCATTGAGCTACGAACTTTTCAAATGCTAATGTTTCTTGCTGACTCTGGGTTGATAAGAACTGTCATTAATTTGATATAATTGGCATCATTTGATCTCTGCTGCAGAGGAAGATATTCTGCTTTTGATTTAAGATATCATTAATAATAACTCAATGAATCCTGAAAGCATTTAATACAAAATTATATGCAAGAAAATAGGAGATGGATTTTCATTTATTAGCTCATTTATCACATCCTTCTGCCAAGTTAAGTTAGCATCTGGCCCATACAATCATCAAAATGCACTGGTATTTCAATGTTTTGACTAGCAATTTATACAACCTCCTTTTACTTAAAATTAATAAAAAACAACTTTCAAAAATATCTTCTTTGTAAACTGTACAAACTTAGTCACCCATTCAAGATATATTTGCTGTGTACCAGGCATTATATTAATAGTCTAGGATATGACAGTGAATGAAATAGGCATTGGCTTTGTCTTCCTGGTACTTGCAGTATACTAGGGAAGAAAACAAGGAGCAATAAATAAACAAATACCTCTGATTTTTAGAAGCCTGAAAGAAGATGCTAGTACAGAGCAATAGAGAAACCACTGATAACTAGGGTAGTCAAAGGATGACACTCAAGGGATGAGAAGGAGGCAGAGAGCCAATGTTCTAGAAACAGAGCCTAGAAATGCTAATGAAAAGTCCTTGAGACAAGAAAGAACTTGGCATGCTATAGGCAGTGAAAGAAGGTCAATGAGTTTGAAGAATAAGAAGTTAAAAAGATGGAATAATAAAGTTGGAGAGATATTCTGAAATAAGAGCATAAAAATGGTTTAATCTTGGTAAGGAATTTAAATTTATGTTAAGAGAATGAGAACTAACAGGAGACTATTGAGGAAGGGAGTGATGTGATACAATTGACATTTTGAAAATTCATTTTGGCAACTGGGTGGGATGGATGGAGGTGTGCCGGGAGGAAGTGAGTAGAGAGGTGAGAGGCCGCCATTGTGGGGGTGCTCCTAGTGAACAAGGTGGAGACTTGAAAGGAGGGCCGAGGCAGGGAAACGAGGAGAACTGTGGAGATATATGGTGGTGGTGGCGCCTACACCTACGGGCCATGATACTCAATCGGTTGTGGCAAGAAAAATAGCACGAATAATGATGCTGCTCATTAGATATATCAGCTTCCAAAGGGAGGAGTTGAGGGCAGAAAATCAGCTCTGTGTTAAACCCTGTGTGTGAGATCTCTTAAGACAAACAAATACCGAGGTCAAGCAGCAGCTGAAGAAGCTGATGTTCAGCACAGACTGGGGCTGGGTTCCCAGAACATGCACCTGGAATGTACAAAAGTTGAAGGCACCTAGTGCTTTAGAAGCAAATGAGGCCACCCAGTGCATACGGTTTGGGAAATATCAATATTGAAGGGAAAGGGAAGCCAGACAAGGAGCATTAGGTAAGGAAGGAGGAAAAGAATAAGAACGTGTTGTCTCATCAGATGACAAGGAGAGGACCTCATAAAGGAAGCCTACTGAGTGAAATGTTCCTGAAAATCTGAGTTAAAAAATGGGGGTACAGAAGCAGTTTCAGTCAGGTTTTGCTGAGTCTTCTGTTGCCATGTATGACTGTTATGGAAGCCTATGACTAGAAGACTTGGAGGTGGCAGAGCCGTTGGCCAATTGTCTAACTGAGAAGGACGTCTCTGCTTAGTGGCAAGTCATCTGGCAGTCATCTGCATGTAGTAAGACAACTTATCACTACAGAAGGAAACTGGAAAGAGGACAAGTCAACGAACCACTGGAAATGCACTCACTCTGCCTTCACCTGACTTCCCAGTCTTCACAAAGCAAAGAATTATCCGGATATAGAATGACCCCATCCGTCCTCTCCCAGACACTTCCCTCCTTGCATCAGACACCACCACCAGGGACTTTCCTTCCAGCTCTATTCCCTTCCCCCCACCAAGACACTGATCAAGAATGCTCTGGACCTGTGTTGTCCAGCATAACAGCAGTCACTAGCCACTTATGACTGTTTAAATTTATTAACGTTAGGTAAAATTTAAAAATTAACTTCACAGCCTCACTAATCACATTTTAAGTGCCAAAACGTCACATGTGGGCCAGTGGCTATTGCACTGACTAATGAGGATATAGATCTCTGAAAGTTCTGTTGGACAGTGCTCTTCTAGATAATGAGCTTTTCCGAGTTCATTTTAAGTTCATTGGCTTTTACGTACATTTCTTTAAAATACTGTGATGATGGTTGTCAGTTAGGAAACTGACCTATGAATGGGTACTACTGAACCAGATATCAAACAATGTCCACTCAATATCTTCATTCGTTATTACTTAAAAAAACAAAAACAAAAACAAAAAACCTTGTTTCTCTTTTCAGGGAGGTGATAATTCATCCATCTGAAAAGTGTTTGGCTACCCAGGCTTCTATTTTTTCTTTCTTTTTGGCCGGGGCTGGGTTTGAACCTGCCACCTCTGGTATATGTGGCCAGTGCCCTACTCCTTTGAGCCATGGACGCCACCCTACCCAGGCTTCCTTTGACCTACATACTTCCTAGGGTTTCTAATGAATGAGAAATCAGAGACTATCTCCTGGGTGAGATTTCCAAAGGAAATGGGACAGACTTAGCCAGCATGTGTTGTTCTCCCTTTGTCCTTTTCTTTCCCATTTTCTGTCCCCTGGAAGAAAGACACAACTGGAGGCTGTTTATGAGCATGACAATAAAAATTACACTGGCAGGGCAGAGCAGAGAGGAAGACAGATGGGGTTCAAGGACACTGATGGAGCTCAGGCAGCCACTTCGCCGTCATCACTGCAATGCAACCTGCAGAATGATTTGCATTCTTCATCTTCAGTCCAGCACAGATAACTGATGCAGTTACAAATTCAGGAGAGAGGTTTGTGATTTTAAGATGTAATCTGGACCCAACCACCTGCTGACCGTACTGTCCATCTAAGAAAGGGGAGGCCTTAGCTAGAACTCCTGGAGTCCCTGGATTCGCACTCCCGGCTGCATTATTCCCTTCAAATTGCAGCTCCGAACTAAAGCACTCCCCAGAGAATTGTGAACTGATTGTGTAATTAAGAGGTGGCTCTTCATTATCCCTTCTTGTTTCTTTAATTGGACTCACGGGCAGCTATTTTGGGAGCATGGATGGAAGAAGAAAAGCAATGAGTTTATTTCTTAGTCTCACCCCGGGTACACGGAGTGCAGGAGGGTGGTCTGTGATTAAGCTTACATTTGCCTATACCGATAAAATACACACAGGCCAGCGTGTGAGGACATTTTCTTTGTGGAACCTTAAAATCATATACAGTAAAAATCAACAGATCTTAGGGACTATCCCTGCACAAAGCATGCTTTTCCAGTGTGACTTACTGGATGAGCAAAGCACACATTTATGACTTACGTAAACTTCTGTGGTTAATGACGATGTTTTCAGAGGGTCCATGGATAGTCTATAACAACTGAATATGACTCGCAGGAGAATTAATGCCTCCTAGAATTAGTCTGTAACCAGCAAGGGATGTGTATGTAAGAATTGTGCATTTTACACAGGCTCCCAAGGGTTCACACCCTGCTTGGGAAGAAGTTCTAGTTGCCCATAAACGGGAAGTAGATGGATGATACAAATTTTATCAGCCCCTTCCCTTTTCTGCCGCACTTTCAACCTCCCTACTACTATTTCCTTCACTTTACAAATAAATTGCTTATAACCAACCCTTATTTCAGGAACTGATTTCCTACAGATTCTTTCTATAAGGAGTTTTAATTTCTGGGAACAACTGTATTTCTCATTGTAAATCAAGTAACTGGTGTTCTGGTTTATACATTGGTCTTCTACAAGTTTGGTTCATGGAAGTCCTTTCCCCCTGAGATAGTTCTATGCAGGCTGACAAGCTGAAGAGTGTGGACATGCAAAGCTGAGAATATACAACGCTGAGAATTAGTCAAACAACGTCACTTTGTGAGATGTCATCTCACTCTGATACTATTTGATCTCATCTAATAGATTTGTGTTCATTTTTTATTTCCTCCCCCCAAAATTGGAGATAGAGAGAGATTCAAGGAGGAAAGACACAAGGGCTGTCTAGAGAGTATCCAGCCATGTGCTATGAAAAATAGAGACATATGTGACTGGATACCTTCTGGACAGCCCTTATATAATATAATGATTGCAGAATTGTAAGAGGTTTCTACAGAATTGACCATTTCCTACCATGTCACCAAAGAAGTTGGGCAAAGAGGACCACGTGAGGTAAACACGGCACATCAGAGAGACGAGGACATGACTAAGAGGAGCTGGGGACAGGTGTGGTGGCTCACACCTGTAAGCCCAGTACTCTGGGACACCAAGGCAGGTGGATGGCCTGGGCTCAGGAGTTCAACCCCAGCCTGAGCTAGAAAGAGACCCTGTCTCGATAAAAAATGAAAAATAGCCAGGCATTCTGGCAAGCACCTGTCCTCCCAGCTAGTTGGGAGGCTGAGGTAAGAGAATCACTTGAGCCCAAGCGTTTGAGGTTGCTAGGAGCTATGACACCATAGCACTCTGTCTGAAGGCAACAAAGTAAGACTCTGTCTCAAAAAAAGAAAAAAAAAAAGGATCTGGGACATGTATGTGGTACTTCCAAGGTGCCAGGCAGGATTTATATATATTGTTATGAATACTAAATAAGTTAATACATGTAACGTTCTTAACAAACAAAAAAGACTAAAATCTAGTGAGACCTTTTCTAGCAATTAACACCAGTGAGGAGAGGATCTAACCTAAAAATAATATTCATGTAATGTAAAAACAATCTAGCATTACTCTTGGGAAAACCGTGCAGAGGGACAGATCTGTGAACTGAACGTCAGAGCTCAAACCCTGGATCTGACACTTTTTAGTAATGGCACGTTATCCTCTCCCACCTCAGTCAATTTTCCATATATGAAATGAATAGAGGAGAAATAATTCCTTAGAGGGGCTTCCATGATGATGGCATAAAAGAATACATTCAGCACAACAGATATGTAAAATGGCTCTTTCCCTTGCTTCACAGAGAAGGAAAAGAAGAAGATATTCTTAGTCAAATTGTAATTATGTATTTTAAAGTTGGTTAGCGAGAGAACAGGCAGACAGATGACTGCTAGAGGGAGTGATGGATACAGATGTTGGATGGATGGTGTCCCAGCCTCCCATGGGCAAGACTTTCAGTCTGGTTTTTTGCCCTATAACAGTGTCCAATGCATTATAATAATTGTCTCAAAGAAATAGAAATATATCCTTTTAATGTGAGTCTGTGCTCAGTTCACTTCAACTGTTCTGAAAACCTGAAGGTGCTATAATCTGCACACATCAGTCTATACAAAGTGAAGTTTTTCAAGACTGGAAGACAAGAATAACGTTGACCCACATTCCTTCACCTGGATGGCACTCAGGTCAGCATTCGGTTTCTGGGACCCTCATTTTTGTGGTTACCTTTGCTGACTCCCGACCCTCTCTCTGCCTTATTCATTATCTGGACAGTTTGTTACGTTCAGTCGGCTCTTGTTTGGGTCTGACAGCCACCACGGAAACTGAGCGTAGAGCTCTTGTGATTTAGTAGCTCAGCGTAGAGGGTAACCTCACTACTTTCTCAAGGTGTGGATGATGCTTTCCCCATGAGTGCCTATGAGGAAAGAAATCATGTGAGAGTTCTGACTGGCAGGAAAACCTGTCCCTATTGTAACGTATCTCAGTTCTCAGTACTTACCTTAGAGTCAATGATTGTTTATTGGTATGCAACCCCCAAATCAAGAGTTCAAGGACATAAAAGTCATTATAAACCTAACTGTAGATGGCTTTCGGGTCCAACACTCTACGGATATTCACCTTTTTTTAAAGAGTGACTGAAACAACAGGAATAAGTAGAAGAGTGGCGGGGAAGCAAGTGGCATTCTGATGGCACAAGCTGGGAGCAACCCTTACCTCCACAGACCACGCCCTCGAGGTCCTCACAGCGGCGGTCGTCACACTCACAGGTCTTGCCGTACACCCTGCGGTCTCCTGGAGGGTAGCAGGTGCATTTTCCGCATTCGCATTTACCTGGGGAGTATTAAGACACAGCACACTCACTGGGAGAGTCACTAAGGTTTCCAAGGACACACGAGTAACCTTAAACCCAGAACCCCTGGACCAGTTCTAGGCTGTGTCCGATAACAGACAAATAACTTTTTAATCTCCCTGAGGTCAGCTGAAGGTTAAGAACAAAAGCCTAGGAGACGGAGCAGAGAGGACCATCACCAGATTAGACGTCCTTTCTTCTCTTGGTTGTTTCATTCATCTTGAAGAATAATTCAGTTAGGAAACTCTCCAGCTTTCTTATTCAACTTAGTCTGATGATGCCATTTAACATAATGGAATGACTTATATATATTTTTATGTAATTCAGCATAATGCGTTTTTTTGGGGGGGTCTATCTACCACAAGGGGAAAAAAAAGTTCATGAGGCACATTTCAATGTGAAATTTTAGTGATTACATGTAGTAATTTTATAGTTTATAGAACTCAATTTTAACATGAAACATATGTCAAAGCATGTGATGTAAACGTCTTTATTATTCTTGACTTAAAATTTAAAAGTATAAATATCTTTTGAATGAATTTGTCTCCTCATTTGGGAATCCCTTAGCAAGTACTATTAGGATGATTTTCAGCATTATTTTTGAGATGTAACTATGTGTCAAACACGATAATTCTGTGTACTATATCATTTTGTTTTCAAAATGAAAACAAAACACTGAATAGCATTATTACTACCATTTTACTAAGTGAAGACATATTGAGGCCAAGTAACTCGCCACGTGATCCAGCTAGTAAGGAACAGACTCAGAATTTCTGTCCATCCTCCTGACCTTTACGGTTTGTGCCCCCTAAGCATAAACCATACGCCTCTTAATATACTGCCCTGCAGCATGAGGAGCCTACATGGGAAAGTAAATCCCTTTTGTAAGGGGAATTGGTGTGGGTTTGCCAGAAATTCCGTTGGGTGACAGCGCTCTAAGACATCTGTTATTCTCTGTCACTAGCCCGACCATCATAATTACACACCCACTGAATGATCACAAGACACTTCAGGGCCAACCCTGCAATGTTGTTAGTCATTCGGTTGCTGAACTTGTATCTTGTTAAGGAAATTCTGAGTTGGTAGATGATGGAGGAAAGAAAAATTAGTATTTAGAATCATATAATTTCCGAGATGTAATTAAAGATCATCTAACACAGTGATTCACAATCCCTTCTGGCAGAAGCAGTGAGGTCACAGTCCCTTTGAGAGTCTGGTGGAAGACAGGGAAATAAACAGTGTCGTTCTGGCTGCCCTTCCATTGATTGCTCCTTCTTCTTGGAGGGATTCCCAAGTTCAACAGGAGGCACCCCTCCTCCCATTCCTATACCCTGGTGGCCAGAACAGGGACACAGGGACACACCAGATGCTCTTGGTCAGGACTTTGATTCTTGAGGGTGAAAGCAAAGGCACACAGCCTGTGGCAGAGTAGGGTGCACGAGCACACAGAGGGTTGTCCCGGAGCAGCAGCCTCAGCACATGGCAGCTGACACTCAGAAGTGATGGCAGCGGCACTGACTCCTTCCTGGCAGTGCCTCGCTGCTCCAGGTTGCTATAGGCGCTGATGGCTCAGAGCTGCATTCTGAACCTAAACCTTCCTAATGGAATCTTTTTTAAAAACCCAGTTAATGAAGTTGGTCTCTGTTGTTTGCGATCAAGAATCCTAACTGGTAGCTTCAGATCTTTCTTTGGAAATTTTACCAACGCACATTTTTTTTGTAAAATGTCAGGAGAATCTACAGCTTCCTTCAGTTTATTTGATGGCTGAGGGAACTGGGGCTAAATGATGTGACCAAGACCAGATAATTATATACTGGCAGTGTTTGTGTCAGAATCTAGATTTTCTGAGCTTCAGTCACCTACACATAAACACTCACCCCCTTCATAGGTGGATTTGCAAATAATTCCAATAATGCAGACTGTGGGAAGAAAAAGATAAACTACAGAACCATCAGATGTGGTCCAGGACAGTTGATAGACGTGGGAAACCACAGTAGTCACCTGCATGACTCTAAAGAGGTAAGCATTTCCAGTTACAAAGACAGAGCCTGTTTTTAAGTTTTAGGTTGTATGTATTTATCAGAATTACTGCAAGTCACAGTCACTTCTGTATACTTGCGAGATAAATTTCCAAACTTATTCAAGGTCAAAAGTAAATTTCACCAAATTCATGATACTTGCACCAACCTCCTCATGAACCTTCACAAATACAGAAGTAGCTGTACATATGTGTACTTGTGATGTTTTGAATTGAAGAATATTGAATGGATACATTTAAACAAGAATCTTGTATATATGGTTTAGTAATATTTACACTATGTAAGAGCTTTAGCAGTAGAACTTGAACTTGAAATGGCATATCTCCCTCAGAATACATATTTGTTTTCAGTTGCCTGAAGACCTTAATTTGAGTTTCCCACTGTTAGATCAATTAAATACGTTCTACAGAATATTCAACATCTCTAACCACAAACCTACTCTTCTCCCTGGGTCCTTTATCTAGAAGAATATAACCATCATCCAATCTTGTCACTGAATCAAAAAAAAAAAACTGATGGCATATTTGATTGTTTCCTCTTTTACTTAACTATTCTCCTCCATTCAATTTCAAAGTTTTTTTTTTTTTATTAAATCATTACTGTGTACATTAATGCAGTCATGGGGTACAATGTGCTGGTTTTATATACCATTTGAAATATTTTCATCAAACTGGTTAACATAGCCTTCACGGCATTTTCTTAGTTATTGTACTAAGCCATTTATATTCTACATTTAGTAAGTTTCACATGTATGCTTGTGAGATGCCCCGCAGGTTGGTCCCACCAATCACCCTCCCTCCCCTGATCCTCCTCCCTCACTTCCCCTCCCTTATAGCCTCCTATTCTTGGGGTATAATTGGGTTTTAGCTTTCATATGAAAGCTATAAATTAGTTTCATAGTAGGACTGAGTACATTGGATATTTTTTAAAACTCCACTTTCCAAAACCATACCTATGATTATGTAATTGCCTTGCATAAATCTTCTGATGGCTTCATGTGATTCCTCACATTGGACTCACTTGGTCCAGCTCACCTTTCCTCTAGGCATCCTGGCGTACACGTTAGCGACTTTGCTCATCTGCCCTGTCTGCCCTGTGGTGCGCACTCTCCCACTTTCACAGTAAAATCTTACCCAGAGTTACAATTTCCACTCCGAAACCTTCCTGTTGGGTTACCTGGGAAAAGTGCTGCATGTCCCATAGCTCTGTGTCCACACCGCTAGTAGAGCGCTGAATGCACATTTTATAATAAATGAGTGGATAACTGAACCTATCAAAAATAGTCAGCCCTCTGTGTTTCAGACTAATAGTGAGATCTGAACCTCGTGAGCAGCCAACTAAGCTCTCCACTGATTTAACTGAAAGGTGTTCACAGATAGATTTATTGATGCTTTCTAAAGGAAATTGAGTCCAACCTTTTCCTTTATTTACTAAATGATGTTGTTACTATTTGAAGATATAACTGTAGCTTCTCAAATGACTATCCAATTAATAATCTCACAGATAAGAAAGGAGGATAATGGAAGTCTACATTCCTATTACTAAGTGCTTTTTTATACAACATATTTAAAGAAAAATCCAAAAAGAAAAAGAAAGAGCGATACCTAAAGAAATAAAAACAAAGCAAGTAATCTGTAAGATGACATTGCAGAAACAGACAGAAAAGAGGATCAAAATAACTGTGTGAGAATAAATTAATTCTGTCAACATCATCAGTGTCACCCAACCAAAACTTATCTGAACTTTATATTACATCTACATCCTCCTATTACATTTTAATAAAGTAGATAATCTTTAGATGCATACAAAAGTCCAGTGCTATTATTCTACAAATGACCACAATCCCTATGAATTATATTTTAAAATTAATTATACACTAGCAAAGAAGAAGAATGAACTAAGGCAGATATCTAGAAAGTCTGGCCAAAATACATTTCAGTTAAACATTTCAAATTTGATATGTAACTTTTGTAAAATACAGAAAAACGCTAAGCTAAAAACTTGACGAAAAGCACAGTTTACAACTCTATGCCCACTCATTTTAACAAATAAAATATATTCCATTTAATTAAAATGTCTTTAAATTTATGATTTCTCACAACCATTAAGATACATTAAAAGATTAAGATAAAATTTTCTTTCAAAGATGCACATACGTTTACCCTAGAGCACATTTTTCTATACTATAAGAACTAGATTAAAAATTAAAAACTCTGATTCACTTTCTACAAAATATTTCTTATATAAAATTCAACAAATATTTAAAAAAATGTTGTATAATGTACTTGAATAGGTATGGGAGTGTACTGCTGAAGAAAAGAAATATTAATTCTATACTTCCTGCTACTCTATAGAGCTAATATCACTTCACTAAGTATCAACTACAAATAAAAAAGTTGAGTGATGTAACTGCTTTGTTGTTTTCAGTGAATTACTGACTTTATAATAAAAAGGACTACTAATATGAAACTAAAAGGTCAACATACTTGTAATAACTGTTTTATAAAATACAAGAGAGTTAAAAGTTCCCAGGACAGTCTCTCATTTTAAACTTAAGCCTAAGTTTAGGCTTTATCTTTACGAGACCTTGGTGGGAGGAGCTTTCATCTTAAGCCTAAGTTTAAAATGAGACTTCTCACAAAGTTCATGTGTAACTTAAAATAGTGTGGAATTTTAACTTGCACATGAACTTTACGGACCCTGTGTGCGTGTGTGTGTCTATAAAATTATCCCAGAATCCTAAAACCAATCACTAAAAAGAGGAAGCTTAACATTTCAGAATGTTATGTGTATTTTTGAACAATATTGCATGCATCTATTATTTTATATATAAAAATAATTCTGGTAATAAAACCCTGTTTTGGTTTTATCAGATAATTAGCACTTGCCTATCTGTCTGAAACCAGACCAGACTCACCTACAAATCACAGCGCCCTCTCCCA